CAGAACATGATCGGCATGACGCCCACCATCATCGCGGTCCACTACCTGGACCACACCGAGCAGTGGGAGAAGTTCGGTCTGGAGAAGCGTCAGCAGGCCCTGGAGCTCATCAAGAAGGGTGGGCGCCCCTCGTCGTCCGGAGCCCCCTCCCTCTAGACGTCTCCCTTTCTGAGGCCCCTTCCCAATCTCTGAGACTCTCTTGCTCCTGAGATCTCTCTCCCTCTGGGAGACCCCTCTATCTTAGTGTCTCTTCTCCCTCTTCTGAGGCCCCCTCCTATTCTGTCTCTGAGGCCCACCCTTCCCTCATAAGATCACACCCTCCTTTCCCCGAAAGAGCCCTTTGGTCTTCTCTGGGACCCTGTCGGATACCCTCTCTGACTCTCTCTACTCTGTGGCCCAACCACCCCAGCCCCAAGCCCATCAGGACATCATCCCCTTCCCCGCAGGGTACACCCAGCAGCTGGCCTTCAAACAACCCAACTCCGCCTATGCCGCCTTCCTGAACCGGCCGGCCAGCACCTGGTGAGTCTCTAAGAGGCCTGGCTTCACCTCCTGAAGAACCAGGAAGCAGCATGTGGCGGGAACCTCAGAGGGCAGGTCACCCCTGGTCCTGAGCCAGTGAGATGCATCAGGCCCCTCCCCTAAGTGTTCATTGGTTGGCTGGGATGGCACTCTCCAGATACCACAGCCGATTGGTTCAGGCAATGCTTAGTCCTGAGCCTGTCCCACATTAGGGGCGATCCTGGGAGCCCGATCAGGCCACGCCCCACACTGCTCATTGGTTGGCCTTGAGAGTACTCACACTGTGCCTATCCCCAGGCTGACTGCCTATGTGGTCAAGGTCTTCTCTCTGGCCACCAACCTCATTGCCATTGACTCCTTGGTCCTTTGCGGGGCGGTCAAATGGTTGATTCTGGAGAAGCAGAAGCCAGATGGCGTCTTCCAGGAGGACGGACCTGTGATCCACCAAGAAATGATTGTAAGCGGCTGGGGCCAGGGGCAAATGAAAATGGGGGGGGGGGGCCCTCATTCACAAAGTACCAAGAAGTTCATTAAACCAAGAGCAGGGCCCTCCTGAGTGTGGAGTGCTGTCTGGGAGCCCAGGTCACTCCATGATGATGATCAGAGCTCACAAAGAATCGCTTTCTTCCCTCTCTCTCCATGTCCTCTTCATACTGTAGGAAGGAGTCTTGCTTTTTCCTGCCACAGGGCCTTTGCACATGCTGTGCCCTCGATTTGGTATGCTGTCTTGTCCTCTTTTAAAATGGAAGTGTACTCACTCCTCTGATCCTGGCTTTGCCTCCATCCCTCGGGGACACTTTACTGACTCACCTGTGTTACCTCTCCAAACTGTTTAGTCTCCAGCCCTGTTCACTTCTCAGCATGCGACCCTTTGATGTTTTCTAAATGATGATGAACTGTCTGGTTCCAGGGGGTGCGCAATGGGGGACTCAGTGAGGGCTGGATTCAGTGCCTCATTTTCATCCTGCATCATTATCAGTACAAGTGGCTCTCCAAAACGCATCTTCAGATGAATGAATGGAATCCTCAAGGGGTGGGCCCTTGTCAAGCACAGTAGAACCGCTGCAAAGCCTTTGCAGACAGCAGTAGCCTGCCATACCTTTCCCCTGTGGAGCAGCTGAAACTGTCCCCCTTTTGGTTGGCAGCAGTGTATTGTCGCTATTGAAGCTCCCGGATCCACTCTTCATTCCACAAGGGGGTGGCTTTGACAAACAGAAAAGGAACTTTCTCACAGTTTGGGGCTCGACACCTGACGTCAGGGCACCCACTCCAGGGGGAGTCGTGTCCTCTCTGTCTACACTGAAGGAAGCTCCTTGTGTCTTTAGCTTGTGTTGCCTGGTTCCTTGGAGACCTCCATGTTATCTTGGAATCTCTCTTCCTTCATCTTTGCTGCTCTGCTCTCATCTTTCTACTCCTGGCTCATGAGCAAAGCAAATACAAACTATTCCAAGTTGGGATTCTCCCCACACACAGCGGGGCTGGAATTGACAACATAGATTTGCTGGGGAGGACACAGTTCAATCTACATCAGTCCCCTGGTTCTGCAGGGGAGGTTGGTTGGACTGTGTGACCCAGCCTTGCTTCCTGCTCCCCATCCTAGGGCGGCTTCAAGGAAGATATGGAGAAAGATGTGGCCCTCACTGCCTTCGTGCTTATCGCACTGCTGGAGGCTAAAGATATCTGCGAAGGACAGGTCAATGTAAGTGTCTCATCCCTGCCCAGTCAGGGCACATCCAGCTTGGACACTGTGCTGGTCACTTGTAGTTTGCCCCGACACATAGCAACCCTGTGTACAACAGAAGGACACACAGCCTGGGCCTGCTCCA